CCTCGATAGGTTCATTTGGTCATATGAATATGCTCAGCGAAAAATTTTGCAATATCGGATAATGGAAAAACGTGCCTCACGAGCTCAACTTTTTATGAGCAAACGAACGTATCTAGGGGAATCTTACTTTGTAGCTTGAAAAAAAATCGCCAAACAAATAGGTCGCACACTAATGTACAGAACTTTATATTTAAAAGACAAATAAAAATAGGAATGAATATAATTGCACAAATCAAAATAGCATAACTGTGGGCTTGTTTTTTTTTTTTTGTGTTGCAGCAAGCGCCGTTTTAATAATAAATTAAATAACTGTTGTCGTACTTGATGTTTAATAAAGTTCATGGCCCGTAGTTATAGTCAAAATTAAGTTGACTCTAAAATAATTGTAGCTTTTTGACATAATTTTCAATGGTATATCTGTCAAAAAAGCTGCAACTAACTTTAGAGTCGACTTTATGTTGACTATAACTACGGGCCATACTTTTAAATTTTCTACATATGTATAAATGGAAATTAGGGTGCACTACTATCCATACAAAAAAATAATCGAAAGGGTTTTCCATCGGAATTATATAAATTTTATTTTTAGGCTTCGCTAAAATATTTTGGAAAAATCTTGATTTAACCGTTAAAATTTGACTTATATTTTTCCGATAAAATTTAACTGTTATTTTATGATTTTTATTTTTTCCACTAAGAATAAACCTTATTTCTGGATCTTTATCTTTTTGATCAATTTTTCCGTTATTTTTGATTTTTATTTTTCCGATCATGTTATAACAGTTATTTTCAGATTTATTTTTTTAGATCATAACAGATTTAAATCGCTCATAAAAATGCAGCCTCTATTGGAAACGGTTAAAAATGACGAAAAAATACAAATTTAACGATTATATCTACGTGATCGAAAAAATAAAAATAAAATAATTTTGCTATGATCTAAAATTTTAAATCTTGATATCTTACGGTTATTTTTTGCGCCTGGAAAAATATTTAAATTTACTATAGCTGGCTTAGTGTTCTTTATAAATAAAATTAATGTTTAAAAGATTTTTCACAAAAAATAACCTCCGACGATAGAAGAGTTAAAGCTTGAGAGATCTGCATAAAAATGAATAAAAATTGTATCAATGTAATCAAAATAATGAGATTTTTGGTACATATTTCCAAATCGGTCCAGCTCACGTAAATTTTAATATTTCTCCGAAATATATTGGCTGAGATCTTTAAATATAATAAGTTTTATAATTCCGGTGGAAAAAGCGAAACATTTTTTGGTGAGGCATCCTAATGTAGGTTTTATTTATGCTTTTCAGCAACTCTCCCTCAAGTAATATGTACATAAAACTATCCTATATTGATAAGTATATAACTAAAAGTATGTGTGTATGTTTTAACATACTACAAATGTTCAAAAAAAGAAATGAAAAGAAATTTTATTGCAACGAATTGCGAATAAAATTCCAGATGCAAATAAAACATAAACACAAATAACTACATATTTCCGTTCATACCACTTCAGATTATGGACATACATACATTACAGACTTATGCATTTGAACATTCACATATATTTGTACATACATACATACATTACAGACTTATGCACATTGGTTCATATTTATGAATTAGAGATATATTGTTTTATATTTTATTATTTATTGAAGCTTATACAATGTTATTAACATATGTACACAAAAAACTATAAATACGAATCGTTCAATGTCAAGTGCACAATTTGCAAGAAGACAATCCACTGCGGAGTGGCGTATTTTCGGTTCACTAATATTCTTTGTACAAACTAATTTACTAAATACCTTCGAAACCGGATATACAAATTACCTTCGCCATTGTTTTGTTAATAAATTCGCATATAAGTATTTATGTGAGAAATCGGCGCTCAATGTCTTGCTGGAAAATATTTTAAAAGTATCCTCTATTCAAAAGTTCACTTAGTACCTACTCATTCAAAGGAAAATAAATTGCCAGAAAATTTACATAAGTGTTCCGCTGCTATGTACTATTTATTTTGCATTTGTTTTGTAAGAATTTGTTGCAGATGGGTGCATACATATGTAAACATGTATGTATGTACAGTGACGAGCAAAACTGTAACGTGATGTAACACTTTTTATTTCAGCGACCGCTATCTTTCAAAGTTCTAACGACTTTCATACTTTTGTTGTATATTCTTATTGGTACACCCCTACTCCCGCTCTCATAACGATTTGAAGTCAATCCAACAACAATAAAAAAACCTGGAGACAAAAATGTAAGTTAAGGCAAATGTTACAGTTTTGCACTCCCTCTCAGTTTTGCATTTTACAGTTATCTTTTGCTTAGTTGGAAGTCAGATGACCTTTTTCTATATTGTAATTTATTCAAGAAGTGATCACCAATAAATAATATGGTTAATCAGGAAACATAAATGTAAATAATAGATTTACTGCGGAAAGGCGGGACCGCAGGGAAAGTGGCAAAAAATTGCGAAGTTTGCCACATAAAAATTTTAAGACTGAGAAAAAATATAAACTAAAGTGTTACTAAGGACAAAGGAAGTCTGTCAAAATATATTACAGTCCGATATCTTGTGAACTTAGTAGCAAGTAGCGCTGCAGCCACTACTACAGAAGCGCTTAAGGTATTCAAATTGAATGCAAATTGCCTATTGGGATATGTTAGGCCTTACAGAATGCAATAAAAAACACATTTTTAAGATTTAATTGAGGGTTATTTGGACTGACAAGACTAAATTAATCGCTTTCAATCAGATGGCCGGGCATGGTATTGGATCAAAGGCCCAAATTAAGCCTAAGCGCATCATGTAAGGCAAACTGTGAATCACAGTGGTCGGTCAATAATAGTTTGGGGTTGTATTTCAAAAATATTGTTGGTCCGTTAGTACGCATTATGCTTAAGGAACAGTATCTGTTCATATTTCAACAAAATTTGAACTATGTAGTCGAAAAAATTAGAGTTTCTGCTGAAAAATCAACCAAAACGCACTGCACATGTTCGCAAAGACTGAAACAAAAGAAAAAATTTGCTAATTTGAAATGACCTCCACAATCCGAGGACATGAATCTCATCGAAAATTTGCGAAATCAGCTAAAAGCGCAGCTTACTAAATATCCAAGTCCGTCCAATGGAGTACATGAGCTGTGAAAGCAAACCAAGGATATATGGGAGGCTATACCTCCAGAATTTTTACAGAGATACACATTAGGTATGCCAAATTGCAACCAGAAACTAAAAAAAGCAAAAGCATACTGAACATTGTGTTAATAATTATTTTTTTTCGTGAAAATTGTCAAAAAGTTGTTAAAAATATATGAGTGCAAAACTGTAACATTTGCCTTAATTTACATTTTTGTCTGCTGGTTTTGTTAATGTTGTTGAATTGACTTCAAATCGTTATGACAGAGGAAGCAAAGATGTACCAATAAAAATATACAACAACAGTATGAATGTCGTTAGAACTTGGAAAGATAGCGACGGCTGAAATAAAAAGTGTTACTCCATGTTACAGTTTTGCTCGCCACTGTATGTACATATCGACGCCTCCAAACCGTACCATGCTAAGTCACCTTAGACTTGGTCACACTTAGCATAGTATGGTTTTGAGGCGTCGATATGTATCTACTTGTGACTACTAATTGACATATGTACGTATTTGTGACTACTAATTTACATAAAAAAATTTTCATTTATATGTTACATGCATATTGAATCTCTGAAGTACTAGTGCACTTTTGTGTCTTAGCTGTAGAAAAAAGCTAATTACCTACACCGAAAGTGTCTAAGGGACAAGCAAACTATGCCCGTTGCCAAGAGCTGTAAATAATGATCTAAGTACTTAGAAGAATATTTCTATAATGAGTTGCTTTTATTTCATATTCTATGCCATTTTTTTTTTGCTATTTTGTGTCCACGTGTTCACAAAGTGCTATAAATACATACATACATATTTATGGCCTAGATTTTGACAGTTCAATATCTTGATAAATGGGCCACTTCCCATTCTTGCCTACTTTACTATACACTTTCTTCGTAGATTTGCGATTATTTTATTTTGTTTGCTGGTGTCTAAAGAAACTTAAACTAAAGTAGTATGATAAATAAGGAGCTTCGTCTAAAATAACAGTTTTGTTATTGTTTGTTTCCACTAGTACATATCTCAACAACAACTAAACAGGGCCTTAGTTAATGCAGTTCACCCTTTTTGTAAGGAGGACATCTTGTGCGCAACCTACACACTTAGTTGAGGGAGTCAATGCGGTCTTTATTTGAGAAAAATATTTTCAAGAAGTTTATGAACCTTTGGAAATGCTGGCAACTCCTATAACGATTTAAGATTGTAGCTCTCGTTGGGACACAATCTCAATGTACACCGATTTTCGATTAATTCCATTAAAATACAGTGTTCTCTGGATATATTCATATGACGATCTGCTGATAACGAGTTCTTTCATGGCAGAAGCGACTTTCAAACTCTCCAACTGTTGTAACCCAAGTAGCTATGTATGTATTTAGAAGTTATAGCCAGTTCCACACACGCAATAAATAGTGTGATACTTACAAGGGTGATCGAGATCTCTGAAACCAATTACACAGGCAAAAAAAAAAAACAAATGGGAAAAAATACGGTGCGGCAAATATTAAAGCTCTTTTTTTGCATAGACTTTTTAAAAATTGTCAAAAATTTCCGCGCCGCTCCTCCTGAACCGCTATCAGGCGTTGTAACTGCCCAAGAAATAGATTAAATATTTTTGTTTAGTCTACATTTAAATCTTTTTGGATTTTGCAACCAGTCGATATACATACATACAAATATATGATTATAGTCTCACTAGTAGTCCATTATTAGTGTACTGGGTATAAACAAAAAAAAAAAAAAAAACAAGAAATTATGCAAAGTAAACAAAAATTACATGATCGTCATCAATAACGCCAGACAGCCTTAAAATTAATGTCACCGCCCATATATTTGTTTAACTCACCTTCATGACCAACTCGAATGGGTGTTTGTAGACCCTAACGGGTGATTGAAATTTCTGCACCATTTTTGCGACCAAAACCGTTTGTTAAATAATCCGCTGCTCCACTGTTAATGAAAGAAAATTGGTAGTTCTATGCTTTACGCTACTGCTATTTTTGCTTCGTTGTTTTTTGTTTACTCTTGTTGTCTATTTTATTTTCTTTAATGGTGTTTTTTTTTTGTATGTTTATGCTTTGCTATTTAATTGTTGTCACTTTTTCGTTACTTATTGGCTTTTAGGTTATCCACTTTTCGTCATCGCACACAGTTCACTTTGCGACTAATTACAAGTAAATACTAATGGCAATGGGATGTTTAGACAATTTTTTTTTTTCTTTTTGTCTTGTGGGCTCTTCAAGAAAATCGAAAATGGGGGGAGAATGCATAAAAGAAAAATGATGTGTCGGCACACCAACGACAGAACGACCGACAGACTGGCGGAGCGACTGCCTCTAATAAGACTAGATAGCTGTGCAGCAAAGTGAGCGCTTCTCCAGAAGGCGAACGACCGACGGATGGGTAGATAGACCAACAACGGGCTTGAAAATCTCTTCTCAAATTCACAGCGACACAATCGATTTCCGCTAATTGCTGTGTTTACTTGCAGTGGCTCTAGTTTATTAGTCCTTCTGTTCTATGTTTTTTTTTTATTATTTTTTATATCTTTTTGCTTTGTTGTTTTGAATACAGCTTGGAAAATTAGTTCATAATTTAGGGTTTGTATTAAGAAAAACACACACTTTTTTGTGTTCGTTACAGTTCTGAGTTGTTATACAACAAAAAATAACTTGTTCTTGCACTAATGCTGCATATGGCTGTGTGCGTATTCACTTTTAACTCTTTTGTAATTTTTACTTTTATTTAAATTTTGTCCTAATTCTCTTTTCGTACACGAAACCACTTTGCCACCTTGTTACCTTGTATTACGAATTTTTGTTAAAAAATATTTGCGATTTTGCTTTCGTTGAGCGTTTCCGGAAAAATTAAAACCAAACTCTCATATCAATTCTGTATTCTACTTGTGAAGAATGATTGCTTCAAAGTAGCTACACAATTGTATTTTTTCTACTTTATGTAGTTTGTTTGTATTTTTCGCGTCCGCGTCGTTCGCCAGATAGAAAGCAAATGTCAGAGATGTGAGCAAACTCGCTTTTCAAGTGAGTCTCCTCCATTGATTAAAAAAAAAAACCTATATTTTAATGGCTCTCTCTCTAAGTACGTGTGAACACACATACATTCATATTATTAGTTAGAATGTATGTATGTGTATGTGTACCCTGCAGTAAATCGAACTGGTTCGGAACTCGCGGCAAACTAGTTCAAAAACGGATCTTTGCTAATTGCAATTGTCCCCGTCTGCAATGCTATAGATAGATAGATATGAATACAGTAAGCACTGTAACCAGTAGGTCTATTTTGCCCTCAGCTTATCACAACACTTAATCTAGCCGTAGAGACTATGCATTTTAGAATAGCGGTATTCTCCGAGTCTTGCAAAGCCCTTGCAGGTTTTCGTATGGGACAGCTTTGCAAACCGTTCAATCTGTGCACCACGCAAGGGCTTTGGAAGACTGAGAGAATACCCCTAATATATCTCGGGGCAGGGAGTGTATGTGGTCTTTTCCTGGCCAAATACTTATGTCCTAAACAGCTCTTTCTTATTCGTGACGGCCTCGCACTCCATGAGAAGGTGCAATGGTGGAGTCACAAAAGCAACATACATAGATCGCTTGACCAGATCCCCAAATTATAAATGTACCTCTACGCCTGCAGTGACCCGTCAAAATACCCGAAATAATTCTTAGCCTCTCTTCGGCGGCGTTTATAAGTAGCCTGTGTCTCTTTAGATTGTACCTCCCTAATAAGACCTTAGGACGCCAATGCAGTACCCTCAGATTGATATCTGAGCGGCTCCTTTATCGCACTAGGACCCAACGCAAGGAAGGCTTGAGGTCCTATCAGGCTCGAGGCAGCAGCTAGTCAGGCTAGCTGATCGGGTTCTTCATTTCCTTCGACTCCCATGTGACCTGGTACCCATATTAGCTGTATAGTATTGATGACTAGTAAGGGCATTAAGCTTCTCGATGCACTGCAGGACCACAGAGGATTTGACCTCGAAGGATGAGAGATCTATAAGTGCCGCCTGACTATCACTGATGGTTTGAACTTATGCTTGGAAGATACTTGGGAAGGTTCCCATGGCTACTAACAGCTTCCGTCTAGGGCCATATACGCCTGCGTCAATACTCTTACGAGACTTAGAGCCTTCTATGTACTACTGTAGCGTGATCGTCTGGACGTGTCCCGCCATAATAATGGTAGTCCAGGTCGCCTTGCTGTGTATATCATCTATGGGGAACAGCACAAGAGGGAGCTGGGAGCTTGTTGTGGACAAAAACTTTTTGACTAGAAACAAAGTTCGCAGTTTCATTTTCGGATTTTCCCCCTTATTATTGTTATTCATTTTTAACCGACTTCAAAACAAGGAGGAAGTCATCACTTAATCGGAATTTTTTTCATGTAAACCGTTTTTATTGGAAAACTTTGACAACAGCGCCATCAGCTAAATCCGACTTTCAACAGTCGTGCTCTGCATACGTTTTGCAGTAGTTCAGAGCCAGTTCTCAAAGGGGTAGTGCTGACTTGTATGCGTGCATGTGTGTGTGTGTTACTGCAACTCGAATCATCAAACTGTTACCACTTTTATGTGCATTTGTGAGAGAAAATTTCACGTATTTCTTTATCGTTAAAATACTTGCAGAGCAATAGAAAAACTTTAAACAATTTGTTATACTTTTTTAGAAATTGAGAACTTTTAAAAATTTAGCCACCGACGCGATTTCAAGTATTTTACATGTTAGAGCTTACAAAAACATACAGAATTAAAAGATAGACCTTTAATTTAAAATTACATAAATCCACTCAGTCGTCGCACTCAACAATTTCATCAATATCCACTTTCCACTGTACACTGCTTCTCGAAATGCCAAACAAATTTTCATGATTATATATGTACAAGTGCTTCTACATACATACATACATACATACGTAGGTGCACATGTACATACATATGTACATTAGGGTGGCCCAAAATAAGTAAAGTCGGAATTTTAATGCTTTCACCCCTCGGATTTTTCGATATAGAATAAAATATTCCCCCAATTTTTTTTTATTTTGAAATCAAAAAATATTTCGAGGTCGCTCAAAGCGCTCAAAGTTCTCCATGTATTTTATATGGGGGAAAAAAGACTTTTCGTAGAAGTGATATAGAATTCTTGAAAATCAATATTTTTCGATCGAGAAACTCTGGTTCTCTTCAGGAGACCTCCAGTAAGAATACCCAATTGTTTATTTAAAAAATTTTTTAATACTAACATTTTTTTATTTATTCCTCCACTGCATTTACCGGCATTTTCTGGCGTTTTGGCGGACGTATAAAATATAGTTACTAGGAAAAAATGGTTAAATAAATAACTGGGTATGTTTATTCGGAACAGGGGTTTTCGATCGAAAAATATTGATTTTCAAGAATTCTGTACGATTTGTACGAAAAGTAGTTTTTTCCATATAAAATATGTAATGGAAAACTTTAAGCGCTTTGAGCGACTCCAAATATTTTTTGATTTCAAAATAAAAAAATAGGGATATATTTTATTCGGTATAGAACAATCCTAGGGGGTAAGTGCATAAATACTCCAACTTGAATTTTTCACATGATTTTTGGGCCACCCTAATGTACATGCATACATATGTACGTAACTACATATGTACCCAAAAAGTCCATCCATCATTTGTTTGGAATAGTGGTTTTCAGGGCAAACAGCTGCTTCCACCTTTGTCTCTATACGTATGTACATATGTATGTACATTGTACATACATATCATGTGTGGATGTACATGAAGGTATATAAGTATCTGTAGATACTGCGTAAAGGTAGTGGTTGAACTCTCAAAGATATTTTTTGGCCACAACACTTCCCAGTATTTTTTACAAAAACGGTGTTGGTAAAGGTACCAAAAATTTATTTATTTTTTTTTTGAATTTGCCAACCTACATAATGAAAATTAACAAGTAATTTTGAAGCAAAAAACAAAACCGACTACGATTATCATATACAAATTTAAGATTTTCGTTAATTTCTTCATGATCCAAATGTAACTCCAAGATCGGGATCAGGTAATATATTCAGCCTTACTGCGTGAATACCTGCTGGACTGTGACCTGTTATAACCCCCACCAAGAGTGATAGCTGTGGCTTTGTAAGCGTGAGAAGTCACCCCGATGGCCCCCGTCCACCCTCGGCCAGAATAAACTTGCAAGCACACAAGTCCTGGTTTTCGCCCGGAGATCGCTGAACTGACATGAGACTCTTCTATTCAAGAGTGCACCACAAGTGATCAACGGCACCAAGCCGCTCTTTATCCGGCGATAACATTCCAAGGGTATCTTTCCTAGCCAATTCGCCGCAATGTCGCTGTGACCCGGAACCCAAATGAGCCTAATATGGAAATATTACGACGCAACTGAGAGAGAGAGAGATTGAACATTCCTTAACCATATTAGCGAGCACCTTCAATGCACTTAGGGCTCTAATAAACGCTATCAGAAGTACAGTGGGCAGAGAAGAAGCTCCTATGAGCCATTTGGGTGGCGCAGTAAACCGTGCGACCAGGGATGAAATCAAAGCCCTCTAGAACTCGAGTGTGTCCAGTCCTTAAGTCTGTCAATCAATCGGTTTCCCTGAGTCTAATAGCTTTTCGCGTTGAGGCGGCTTTGCCTGCAATGTCTGCGGGCACTAGGTTCGGCGTTACGTTAAATGTCCTTAGTATACATGGCGAAGTAAGGATTTTTTTTTTTTTGGTTTAATTCATCCCTGCTAGCTTGACGAAAAATTTGTATGTGAATGCAAGAACAACGTTTTTTGCTATAACTTTCTTATTTTATACCCGATTTTTTAAAACTTTATGTCGCTGAAAAGGTCTCGCTCAGCACTACAATTGGCCATTGGACAGTTTTGGCCTTCAAACACGTTTTAATTTGCACCTTCATTAATTTTGGAATTACTATCACTAGATTTTTATTTTTATGCTATAAATATAAAGCACTCAAAAACGATGACAACGGTTACATAAATAGCGGATAGCAAATAAGGAAATTAAAGCAAAAAACGCGATTTAGCGGGTGCAAAAAAATATTTTTACACCCAAAATTTTTTCTCGACATAAGTGTTTAAATAAAACTGACACACACTAAACTTTTTTTCGTTATACGCCTTAATGTACATTTCTCTTTTTATCCGCCCTGAAGTATGCAACACATTGTGGTTGATATTTAATACTTACATATGTACATACATATAAGCAAAGTGGACATGTGGGGTAACAGTTAAAATATTGATGCCGATTCTGAACAGACACTCCCTAGGAGTTTGCTCGCTTTTCCCTTTCCTCCTATCATGAACAAAAATTCCTCGAGGATATTTTTTTTTTTATATTAAATGGCGGAGTTGAGCTGTCTAAAAAGTGTCAAACAGCTTTTTCGAAATTCCAAATTCCTCCACCCAAATTTTCGGGGAAAATACGACGCCCTGGGAGTTAATTATTGGAGGATTTCCTTCTCGGGAGAAATAAAATTCACAAAGAACAAACTCCCCGGGAGTATTCTGAATTGGATGGAATGGAACAAGTTAACTGGAAAAAACTTTCGATTGAAGAAAAGTCTCCATAAACCATTATTAAATTAAAACCATCAATGAATATATTTTAAAAGAATAAATTACGAGAATATTAACAAATATGTATATATCTATAATTTACATGGCACTTATGTAAAAAAAATTGTATGCAAATTGTCGTATATGTATAAAAATATAAACAACATAAGTGTGACTGTGGTAAAATAAAGAAATTTAACAAATACTATACCTCAGAGATAACAAAAAAAAAAAAAAAAATCCACATAATAAATACTATACGGGGTTATGTACATAATACACATTGTATACAAAATAATGCTGCATATAATACGCATTTCTGGATCGCTTAGCATTCATTGTCCAAAATAAGAAATCTGCCTCCTTACTACTTCTCACTGCGACCGTAGACTGCAACACTGTCAAAAAAAAAAAAAAAAGCGGAAACCAATGAAGAAAAAATACTTTATACGAATTTTAAATCTCTTTTTTTTTTTATAAATCTAACCGATAAACGCAGGTATATTCTGCATGCCCATGATTGGACTTGAACTTGAAGCGCACGTAAAGATATTTATTTTCGCACTGCACAGCGAAATTTTGCGCTGGTGGTTGCTGATTTGCATACGTAAAATCGCCCATTTTGAATTCCTGCCAGGAAGTGGCCATGATGCCCTGTGAAAGTAAAATAAGATAGGTTAATGAGCATAATTTTCACTTTTTGTTGCATTCTTCTAGGCTGCAGCGATTGCTAATATAAGTTTAAAATTGCAAATTTTTTTTTGCAGAAATTTTATTATTTTTTCTAGTTGTTTTAATTATTTTTTTTTTTTTGCAAATCACTTACATAAACCTCAAAGTCCTTTGGCGCACTGCTAGTATCATTGTTGGGCGCATTGCCTTTACATAGATGCTCCAACTCGAAACTCTCCACGTATATCTGCGCACAAGAAATATAATAGTCCATTTAATAATCTTATTCAAATAGAAATTCTAATTTTTCTCACTTACCGCCTGTGCCAGTTTGATGGTCACCACCGCCTGTGCCCGCTTGAAGGCGAAGCAATTACCCGGCTCCATTCCTGGCTTTAGCATATTTATTGGCGGATTTGCGCTGTATTGCAGCCCTAGCACTGATCTCACCACATTGCCGCTATCAAGCGGCTCCGCCTTCACATCATACACCTTCGCACCCAACTCTTCCGCTGCGTAATTGACGTGCGCTCGCATTGATCGCTCCACTAACGCACCATCGCCGACGCTGCCGCCACCACCACCACCACCACCACCACCACCCTCGGCCATGGTCTGTGGCGCTGACAGCCGTACACCCGCACACTCAGTGAGTCGTAACTGCTTTTTCATCGCATACAAATCATCCCAAATACCGGCCAGTCGCTTCTTCAGAATACCGTCAATAATTTCACTCAGATGTTTTGTTTCACCTTGTCCCGGCGCAGCATGCAGCACAACGTGCTTATGGGGCGGCAAGTAGATGAAGTTCAAAGAATGGAATAATAGAGAGAGGGAGCAGTTGATGGCGGTTGATTTCTTTACACATTACACACTCACCGCAATCTCATCTACATCCTCGCGCAGTCGGCCGAGTTTGCGTCTGTTCTCCAAATTGCTCGAGACCAGTATATAGATGAAGAAACCTATTAGCAATGTCGATATCAAATAGCAAATGCAAACTCGCGTGCGACTTGGTTCCATCGCCTGTGTATTCGCAGTAGAAAAACAAAGAAATGTACGTTTTTGAAATTTACATTATTTCCTTGCTGGTAATCAAATTTTCAAAAAAAAAAAAAAATTGACGGGTAAAATTTGATTGTTTTACGAGAGGCGGCATTCACAATGAGGATTTGGTCTTGGGCAATGTGCAGTAGGGTGAGTAAAAATTTGCGATTGATTGTCGTTTTAAGTAAAAAAAAAATCGATAGACTGGAAAATTTAATTTTTAAATGTTTCTCGGGTTTTAAATTGATCCAAAGTAAAATAACACATTTCTGAAATCGTTAAGTTTCTAATTCAATATATCGAACCGTGAGTGGAAGATGGACCTATGTATATCAGCGGCCAGTTCGAAAACGTCCTATCTCAAAAAACTTTTCAAAAACGCCCTATCCCAACTGAAAATATGTTGAGATTGGGTGTTTTTGAATCGGCAGTCGAGACAGGGCGTTTTTTGAATCGAATTCTAAAACGGGGCGTCCTTGAAAAGTTTTCTGAGATAGGATGTTTTCGAACTGGCTGCCGAGATAGGTCGATCTGCTACACAGGTGTCGATATGTACCTTTTCTCTAAATATAACAAGGGGGTCCATTGAGAGCGTCGTAAGATGGATTTGTTTGATGCTATGTTTATTTAATTTGGGCTGATCCTGGAGCCTGCCACAATATTTAGACCGGCGAAGTTACACCAGTTTATCGAGGCAATTCGTCTGGTGGGTGGCGGTTGGTCCCTGATGACAACATCCGAGCGGGAGGTAAAACGTGCCTATGCCATCTTCGCCTTGCGACGAGGTGAGGCTGTGATCAAGTAAATTGATGACGTCTATAGGTGATAAATAGAGCGGTTTTGGGGTCATAGTCTTCGGGTTGGAGAAACTTGTGCAAAGCTGTGGGTCGTCGTGGGAGCCCTGCTCGCATGTGTCATATCTGAGTTGAACCGCAATAGGTAGCTATGAAAGTTGTATAGAGTGGATCCAAAGGTCAGGACGCGGCTCGTTGAGTCCCCTAAATATTTCTGACTAGTTTTCGCTGTGTTCAACGTTAGGTCTGTCTCTATTTCGACAGTAGGGCCAGCCTACGAGCATAATGTCGTTTTCCCTGGTACTGCGGCTTTTTCTGACTGCGTCACAGCTTAACTTGTTTAGGGCTGTGGTTAATGAACTCTTGCAGCGGCTGCAGCTTCGTTGTCGTGTTAAAGATGTTGCTTGGAAGACATTATACGACATCCTGCAGCAAAACATAGAGTTGCTTTCTCAACAAATTGCGAGTTTCTCTTCTATTGTGTTTGTTGTTTTAGCAGCACTTTGCCCCCTAACTGGTTGTTTGACTTATCCATAGGTCGGTTTAAGGTTCGTCGCACTACTTCCAAACCGCGGTTTTGACCAAAGAATATCAGCACAGCAGCAGTCGCTCAACCTATACGAGTATATGGTCATTATCACTGCAGACGCACGTTAGTGATTCGCTTGTTTTGAATCTCTTAATTTTACGGAGTCGGACCAGAGGGAGAGGGGTGTTAGTTGAGTGGGCATGTGAAGATGTGGTTGGTGTCGTAGGGGGGACCCTTCACATAACGGACCCACATTGACAACGTCGGGGCCTGGTCTGGACAAGTAGTTTAGCCTGCAGTTGAAGCTCAGTTTCGTCCACAAGTGGTGATCTGACCCCGTTGACTACATTCATGGGAGTTTGCGTAGGTGGTTATAGCCTCCCTTTGAATGCCATTGTTTGCCAGACTAAAGAGTGCCGTGTGTAATGCTGGTTGTACTTAGGACCTCGCCCATCAGGTAGATATGCCTTCTGAATTGCCTAGGTGAAGGTTTCTGCTCGAGCAAGTGTCTTTGTCTACTAAGAACTGCTTGCTGCGAATGATTTTGTTCCCCCTTACTGGGAGCATTTGGGCCTCACTATGTAGGTGGCGTTCTGTCGGCAGAGCAATTTCTGTGATTGTGGTTGCTGCTGTTGTAGCGGCAGTACTCACCCCACCTGGGCCGGTTCGCCCACACATCGTTGTCGTCAAGCTTATCTATCGGCAGGACCAAGAAAACAGCTATTTCGATGGGGTCGGACCAGAGGGAGAGGGATGTTGGCTGAGTTGGATTGAGCTGAGATGTGAAGAGTTGTTTGGTTTAATGGGGAAGCCTCCACATGGCGGACACTCATTGGGGATATCTGGGGAGAGACTGGACAAGTAGCTGTTGAGGCGGGTGCAATTTCCTTACCATAATTGTACCAGAGTAGCGTGGGACTCTCGTGGCAGTCGAGACCCTTTGTCTGCGATATTGAAAATTTCAGCTGTGTGCATGGGGAAGGAAAGCAGGCTGTCAAAGGTAGCCCCTTTCAGGTTCTTCACTGCGCGCATGCCTTCAACGTCCTTCGTCCAGGAGGTTAAGAGGGTCTCCGTTGATTTTGTCGTTGAGAGAGTTAGGTAGCCGTTTAGTTTCGAGCAGAGGTCATCAATTCCATTGACGAACAAAAAATATCGAACAATCGGCAGCAATGCGATCCAGGAAACTCCCTACGGTGGTAGAGGAAGCTTCGATATACAGAAGTCAAACAGTAGGGCGGAAAGGACACCACCTTTGGAATCCCTTACATAATTCTTCTAGGTTTTGATATTTGCCACTGAAAGGTTATTGACCACTGCCAATCATTCGTGTAACTTGCCGGCCACCGTTTGAACCCCTGTGGGAGATAATCTTCGATCTTTCCTAGAAGCTTCCAATGACAGACACTGCCAAACGCCTTTGACAGGTCCAAAGCCACTAGGACTGTTCTCTCACACGGGCAATTATAGGTAAGGCCACGAGTTATTTGAGTCTTTAGGACGTAAAGTGCGGGATTAGCGTTATCGGTTTAAGCAACGGGACCACTCTCCCCAATTTCCATACGTCAAGAATTATGGGATGGGCCATTGACCAATTGGGAACCTTGGTGAGATATGCCATTCCGGTGGGACTCAAATTTTTTAGCATCAGCATGCAAATTCCGTCAATGCCAATGACTTTGGAGACTTTCGGTTTTCACGACGACCCCCTGAACTTTAGAAGTGTGCTACTTCCACAGGCGCTGTTCATAGGGACAGGGGCGTTAGCTGAGTGGGGAAATCCATCAAACAAATTTCTGTCACCTCATTCGCTTATAAATTACTCGTTGAATGAACTTTTCCATCTACGATTTCAAGCATGAATTTATTAAAAACTTTAGAAGGAATGTATGTGATTGTGTATTTAGTAATTTATTTGCTTTTGCTTTGCTTTGCTATGCGCTTTTTAAGTATATAACTTTTAACTGCTTTATTGTTTATAAGTTTTCATGCCTTTGCGCCAACGAGAAAATAAATATAAAATTCAAAGTACTTAAAAAAGGAAATAAAAAAAGGCAATTAAATTAAATACTTCTTCAATTTGTTTGTTGTTGTTTTTTTTTGCTTCTGATTTTAAACGTTAAACGCACTAATTATGTAGCACTACTCATACATACATATTATGTATTTGAAATTGTTTCATTTTCTTGTTATTATTTAACAAACATACATACATACATACATTCATGCGAACTATGTCATTATGTTGAATGGTGCACTGCAGAGATTTGGTGTGGAAAGAAGTCGTTGCTTTCCATTTACATAAGCGTATGTTATACATACTATAATAAATTTAGTTACATATATATACATATGTATGCATGTATGCAGGTGAATGAGTGTGCTATTAAATACAACATCCTAAATGCTAACGACTAATTAATGTTATATGCACTATAGTGTATGTTTTTATATATTTTGTTGCTTTGCTAAACATACATACATATGTATACACGTTGAGTATATAAATATATCAATGTATAATAGTATATGATATATGCACGCATGTATATAAGGTATAGCAATAAATTAATATTAGATGCAACTGTCTTTGCGTACGTTTGCATAAACATTCCTCAGCAAAACAAGCGTCAAATCAAATGTGTTACCATATTTTCTATATTTACATACGAACGTTTCTCGGTTGATGCGTTTAAATGGTTTTTCCTGGTAGATTAGTTGGAGAGCGTCTAATCAGAAGATGATATTTCATTTGCCGACGAACTTATTAGTCGAGTTTCCGTTATTTAAACTTCACAATAAACTACCGTTGATACCCCCTAATATTATGCTTCAAACTATGATTCGGTTGCTTTTTAGATTTTGCCGGAGATTAAAGTCTTATGTTAATATCATCACCTGATTAGATACACCTCAGTTGTTGAGTATGTTATATTTTTAATAATCAATAGTATGCAATGCATAATTACGTTTACTTCCGTTTGTTTTTCGCTGCTATTTCAATTTGATATTAAGATTACATGGTATTGGTTTTGTATTTTGCGTATAAATATTGCATTCGTTTATGAATAACAACATCAAAATGTGTGTGTTTATGCGTATGATTATGTATGATTATTGTTGCCTACTTTTGCATTCATAATTATTAATATATTCGTTTTAAGTTTCCATGCTTCAATGGAACATATGTATGTATGTGTAAAACAGCCATATAAATCGCAGCTCTAATGCGTAGCATAAAATTTAAGATTTTTTTGTAAGCTTTAAAACACCAGCAGGATAATACTGTGGTATTAATAGGCTTTCGGGCAGTGGTCGTCGCGGTGTGCAACGCTGCTGCGCCTGGCGTATGATGTTGGCGATTTTTCCTGCACCAAAAAAAGGTTTGAATTTTAATTAATTTTACTGTGAAATAGTCTACAACTACGTACCTAATAAATTTGCTTCTACAAAGCGTTTATCTAAATGCCTGAGTACGCTGAGATTTTTCGTGCGCACCCATTGTTGCAATATATCAGCGACTTTAACTGGCACCAAAGTAGTTGAAGTTTCCTGGTGATCCTTGAAAAGTATACATATAATAATATTTTTAAAACTAGTGGCTAAATAAAAATTTGTTAATTGTAAAAATAAGTTGATCAATCAGCTATTAACGGAAACTAGTGACCTTTTGTTGTTGTTGTTGTAGTTTTTTGGGTGTATTGCTGGAGTGACAGTCCTTGGCCAGATATAAATCTGCCCTTTTGCTTGTTGTTGTTGTAGCGGGTACTAAACCCCGCTCGAGTCTGCTCATCTATTAACGTTGTCGACTGTTTCAGCTGAGGGGAGGGCCAGGAAGTTCGCAACATTAACGGGATCTGTCCATAGGGACAGATGCGTTAGCTGGGTGGGGTTTAGGGGCATGCGAAGAGGTGCCGTGAGTCATGTGGCAACACTCCGCATGCCGGGTACTGGTTGGGCACATCCTGTTGTTGTTGTTGTTGTAGCGGCTACAACAACCCCGCCCAGATCGGTTGGTATCTCAGTCGTTGTCGTCAAGTTCCACTAACGGCAACCCTAGGAAGCGTGCAGCTTCTGCGGGGTTTGCCCATAGGGACAAGGCCGACGACAGCCGGTTCTACGTACCGGAATGACTCGGGTTTCACCCGACCAAGGGCTGTTGTTTCGGCGATCTAACCCCGTTTAGGTCGGCGAAGTATCTTAGAAGTTGGGCACATCCTCGTTTATTCTGCTCAGGTATGAGTTTAGCCCGTTGCAATAGCCAGAGCGAAGTTGGGTTATTGTGGTGCGAGTCTCCCGAGATAGACAAAGTTCTGTCCCGTCCACGTCAGGTGGTTGTGTGCTCAAAACGGCATTCGCAGATTGAAAGTCTATATAACTCGATAACGACTCCCTGTGAATGCTGTTCAGGGCCTATCTTTATGCAGTTGGGTTCAGAGGTTGTTTAATGAACCTCTGGACTTCGCCCATCAGCTAGTAGAGGTGCCTCCTGACGTGCCTTGGCGAGGGCTCTTCTTCAAGCAGTTGCCCTTTCGCGTTTTGTTGTTGTAGCGGCCCTGTTGCTCGTTGTTGTTGCTCTAGTATGGTCACTTCTAAACCTATTAATGTGCTCATTTGCTGGTACAGCGACTATTGTTGTCATTAGCACCTGCCATTTGTCATATTTACCTGTTGAAATTGCACTTCCACTTGCTGTCGCGTAGCCAATTCTATTAAGCGTTTCAGCTTGTGATGATTGCAGTGTTTCTTCGATTCATGTATGAGTAAATGCTTCAAATCCCTAAATTCTTTAAAGTTTCTGTGCATGCCCAACATTGAAGGCATTGTCGTTGTTGTGTTTGTTGTTGCAGTGGCAGCATTAGAAGCATAATACAGCTGAGATTTAATTAGTTCCAAATTATAAGATACATGAAGTTTGTCCTGAGGGTTAAAGAAAGCAATTTGAATAGCTTTACGTTGCAAAGAACTCCTAATCTTCATACTCACCAGTGCCTGCACCAGCAACTCCTCGCTTAAATTTAAAGTGGGAACTGTGACAGTTTCCTTTTCAGTCAATAATAAGTTCTTTAGAAGCTGAAAGTTATTTTGAGGATGCTCGCTACTCCCACCCGTCGTGGTCCGTCTTTGGTTCATGCCCTCCTCTTCTGTTTTGAATTGCAACACCTCATCATCGCATGTCCGTGCACGCATTCGAGTACGTACGCGCGCTTTGAGTTTTGTCTCACTGGCACTCAGTCCACTATCATCACAACTAACACTATCACCTAGCCATCTATCGTTCTTTAACATGCGTATATCTCTAAAAGCCGTAGTTGCCCAGTCTACATTCCTTGGTTGCAAATAATTACCGACTGCTGTCTCAAAAATGCATTCATCACGTGTATCTCTGAAGATCAATGGTGAACCGCTGCGGCAGCGCGTTGCTCCAGTTGATGTTTGTGCTGCGCGTTTAAAGAGCGCTATGCTGCTGCTACTACGCTTGTGGCAACGTGTACACTCATTTGAATCTATGGCTTTGCCAATTGTGTTCGCCAAAAATTCTTTTTCCAAGCAGTCCAGGCAGGTGTCATCATTCACACTCGAATCATCGCATTCGTTTGTTGTTGTGGTGGCTGTGTTGGTGACTAGGCCAGTTTCGGCGCGCATGCATTCCTCTGTACTTGCCGCAATCTTGGGCGCTGCGCAGCGAAACTCAGTGCAACTAGCGCTGCGCTCATCGAAGCTGGCGCTATTGCAGAGCGTTGCTAGGGCATAGGTGGAGCGCAGCGAGTTCCGAGATTTTGAAGAATTTTTGGAAGATGTCGATGAAGATGTTGAAAATGTGGAGAAGCGTTTCGGTTTGGCGCCTTTAAGAATTAACAATAACGTTTATTAAAATATACATTACATGGCAAATAATTATGCACCTGTTACTTTCGAAGGAATTGCCTTGCTTTCATCTTTTGAGTGTAGCAAATCTCGCCCAAAATTCGAGAGTAGCGTATTCGGTAGCGAATGGGCCGCGTTGATTTGAGCAGCTTTCGTGGCCGCGTCAACTGCATCATCGGCCATACCCAACGCCGATGCGCGATCACTATGTGTGCGCTCATAAGAATCACATTCGCCACTCCCTCCTTTAATTTGATCCAAATGCATGGTAATTCGAGCAAAATTTTTGCTAAGCATTAGCTGAGATTGAAGTGTTTTAGTGGCCGGTGGTGGTAAGCTGTCATCGATCGGCGAACTGAATAACAACCGTTGCGCCGCAGTCGTATTTTTGTTAAATTTACCTAATGTTGCTGACTGTCGACCACTCAAATGGCAAGCATCGCGGTGCATTAGGAATGCATCTGTATGACCAGGCGGAGCTTCAACCGAACCATACTCGACCTCTGACAATGGGTCAGGCTCGAAGTCCATCTCAAGAAAGTCTGTTTCGTCATCAGCCATGCAAGGGTTGCCAGTGCCGTGCCCCCGTCCGGCAATGGCATCTAAAGCGAGATCAAAGTCCGCACCGTCACCACGATACGCATAAACACAATCATCTGAGTTGAGCGAAATCTCCTCCGCGTCCACATCTACATCATCGACGTCATCGTCACCCTCCAATAGCAATAGGTCGTCAGCGAAGTAGTTATCACTGTTGTAGCTGAGATTCTCCGTGGAGTTGTTGAGCGAAGCGCTACGCGATACCACTCCAGTACCAGCTGCGGCTGCTGCAAACACATCAAATGTACATGCATTGTAATCGCTGGGTGTCGAAACAGCAGCAGCAACAGACATCGCTGCTAATGCAACGTGCGAAGATGTGGGCGTTGCAATGTCTATAGCGGCAGCACCGTTTGGCTATAAAACAAGTGAAACAAATGAATATTAGAAAAACAAGTTCTTTCCCAAGAATGCAAAGAATTTCAAACCTTCTTATTTGAATCGCCATTGGCGCCTGCCATACCAGCGCAACTACTATCCGCTGTAACAAAGCTCGCGCCAGTAATCCCAGCTGTTTTTCTTTCGCTAATGTCAACTTCGCCTCCACAGCTACCACCGCCAACACCTTCACTTCGTTTTTCGATGCCGGTAAATGACGCATCTGTTGTTGTATTTGCCAAAGCTACCGTTGCAGCGCCAGCAGTCCCCGTCGACGCCGTTGTTGTTATGCCGACGTTGCACTTGGCTTGCGCGTTTGATTCTAGAGCATTATTGTTATTATTGTTATTTTGTATATGTTGTTGTCCACAAGTTAGCCAGCTGCTACCGCTGCCGCCGACACTACTAATGGCATCCCCACCACTTCCTAGACAATTACAGTCATCCTGTGCTGAAACAAAACCCGTGACTGCTCCAACATTAGTACCTACATGCGCTGCATTGCCACACCGACTACCACTTAGTTTTTCTATGTCAGAATTCTTTTTGAAAAAAGTACCATTGCCACTGCTACGCCCTTGCAAATTTTCCATCGCCACTGATTCGTTGTTGATTTCAGCTGCCCTATTAGTGCGTTGCGTAGCGTTGGTAATTCAGTTGAAGACTGTCCTTCAATGGTAAACCAATTCCCTTTGTAATCTATGTATGAAACGAAATATTTATTACAAACGCGTTTTTTGTAACTTTTGTTTGTTTCCAAGTCTGTCTGCGATTTGCTTTTTTTTTGTGGCCCTGGATGCGTATTAAACGTTTTCAAACTCTGCATTACCACGAAACCACAATCGATGAAAGTTTAGTTGTTTCGTACTGGTTTTAACTTTTCAACATTTTCTTTGTTTTTTTAGGTAGCACTTTTTTATTGCAAGTGAAAAAATCTTCCAATGCACAAAAGTCGAAAACAGCAGCAACTTTGACAGATTGTTTTTTGTCCAATCTGCTTCACCTTATTCTTTGATAGTTGACAGTGTTGCGATCGCAGGTTAAACCTTCAGGGATAATTTTCGGCCACTGGTAAACGCATAACAAAGTATAGCTGATGCCAGATAAAACTTTGTAGCTTTGCGTGACATTTTTAACTTTGCCAGCAAAGCGCCAGACGCAAAAGGTATGCCACAATGAACGCCAAGAAAACAATGTTGTACCGCTTTTTTACTCATCAAAGTTGCTGTGGATTTTAATTATTTTGATTTAAAATTATCAGAAAATGTAATTAAGTTTTATGTTTCTGCATGAAAACCCGAATTTGGACGAAACAAAATAAATATTAAACCGGCTGATTGTCAAAGCGCGCAAAAAGATGGGAGTTGACCATCTTTTCGCTTCGCGCTGCCGCTTCAACGATTTATGTGGCATGCTTTGTGCATTTTCATACAATTCATCTTATCTGTCAAAGCGAATCTGTCACGTAAAGCGAAGCAAAAGTTTTATGTGACATCAGCTTATATGCTCGTACGAGAGAATAAGCTCAATTTGTAATTTCTTAAATCACTTTTAAATACATATATACTACCGATTTATTTAATTTGCGTTGTTGTTATAACCCAATCGTAAGTTTAACAAAAAACCCACTAAAACGTACGAAGCCGTATAGTAGGAAAATTTTTAAATTTTGAGATGTGATACTGGCAATCCTGATTGGTTGTTTTCAAATTGACCCGCCGTGCGAAAATTAATAAATAAACAAAACATGTAGAATACGGGAAAAATGGCTTTGAATATGCAAATAAAAGTGAGTAAATACAAGCAGGGTTATCTAAAAATCGAAAAAAATTAATACTGCGCTCCATATATGTACCTGAATTAAAATACACCTGGATACACGCCGCAGTAACACCCAATATGTCTTCCTATTCGTTCCATGGCACTTCTAAAACATGGACTCCGCGTGATGAGTGTGAAAGCCAACAAATTACGGCAGCTGATTCAAAACAGGTAATTTAAAGGAATGTGATTTGAAGAATACCAATTGTAATAGCATCCACGTTATTAAACTTATACCTATAAATGTATATCTGATATGCAGGTCTACAATGACTGCAGCTTGCAGGACATTAGCTGCGAGCTCGACAATGAGAAATGGAGTGTTAAACAACTTACATGCCTGTTACGCCTCTACGGCGCTCATCGCTGCCTCTGGGACACATGCCATCCGGATAATCGTAATCGCAAACTGCGTAAAGCGGCACTGATTGATATCACAGCAGCCATGGGTGATGGTGTTACATTTGCGCAAGTTTTGCAAAAGATCAATGTTCTCCGTGCCACTTATCGCTACGAAAAACGCCGCATTAAGCAGCGTATACGAAGAGGGATAGGCGCTAAAACTAAGTTGAAGTGGTTTGCTATAGCGGATTCGTTCTTGAGGAAAGTTCCCAGGACAGAGAAAAATAAGAAGACAGAGGTATTTGGTTTTTTAAATTTGTCTTTTATATTTAGCATAAGCTGAATTTTTTCGGAATAGGACGATAATAGCGACTCGGATTTGGAAGAAGCTATAGTAATAACTGTCGATTCTGAAACGTTGATACCATCAGAAAACGACGCTCTTGCGCAATATTTAGATGTTGACATCAAAATGGAGCCTGAGGAGGTACTTACTTTACTCTATTTAAAATATATTCATTGACAACCATTTAACGTTTATTAAATTTGTCAACATTTAACAATGCAAATTCTTTATCGGCCCACTAACGAATACAAAATCACGTTGCCCACCTTCATATAATGCCAAAGAATCTAAGCTCAAAATCACATTCAATAGTTTACATAAAAAAAAATGTTTCTTAGTTAATACTCCCTTTCTGTTCAGGAGCATGCAAGTGAGACAAATAAAAGCTACCCAGGGAACGCATCTTATCTGCCAGCTAAAACTGGAGGGAGCTTTACAATTGCAGGAGAAAATGCTTTAATTGAACAACGTAAATGGACTACTCACGAGTCCTTACAGTTTGTTTTTCTGTTACGTTCTTATCCACTGCTTTGGCAGTTGACGCTAGGCGATGAAACTGAGATTGAGCAGCAGTCTTTTATGCAGGTAAAAGCTTTGGAAGAGATTTCACGTACAATGCAGCTGCCTAAGCATCGCTTGCTGAAACGCTTACAAATCTTCCTGAGCACCTACCGACTGGAGATAGCGAAAATTAAAGAGGATAGCGCATATAAACCGGATTTTGTTTGGTGGCCCATGGTACAGGAGTATCTAGATACCCCCAAGCTGGAGTCGGTAAATGCGATTGAAAGCCATGCCGACAGTAGTCAGCCTGCTCACAATGCATCTGAGCCAATAGATGGCTCAAGCTTTGACACATCATCTTTTAAACCAACTATTGGTTTTCCTTTAAGCGCGTCAGCCTCACCAGCTGTGTCCCCAATTTGCTCACCACCACCTATAAACGAAGACAGCAATAGTATGAGTGGCTGCCCCTTTACTGAGCATCAACATTTCAGCAAACCACCCATGAAACTCATCTGGAATGGACTCGAAGACAATCTGCTCGAAGGCAAATGGTCGCTCAAACATTCTGTGAAATTCTTACGTCTCTATGGTGCACACCGCTGCCTTTGGGATCTTAATGATTCAGATTATCGTTCGCGTGAAATGCGTACTGCTGCTATTGAAGATATTGCCGCCGCTATGGGCTATGGCTTGGACGCTGAATATGTAGCAAAAAAGATAAAAATCTTTCGCATTACTTATATGCAGCATAGGAAACGTATGCTGGAGGCCATCAAAGAAAATCGTGAGCCCGATATACAATTACGTTGGTTTCCCTTAGCCGACAGCTTCTTGCGTCCACACATTGGCTTGCGGTCGATTAAGGAACAAGAGCGCGAAATGCCGCAATTTGATTTTCAATATGTTTATGCGAATTTGAATTTAATTGATCCAGGCCTGCTGGCTGATTTGAAGTGAATTACGATAAAGGCCTATATGAATACATAATATATTTTATGTACTATATACATACGTATATTTTAAGATCCTTAAAGGATAACTAACCTTCAGCACCGCAACTTAGCTAATAGGTTTCTTATGATCTAAGTCAATTTGTATATTTTATGCCGCCATATAAATGTATGCATATGTACATATATACAAAAAAAAATATATTTAACAAATACTTAGTACTTCTCTACGCTACATCTTCATCCTGTTCACCCTCTGTTAGTTGCACGATCGACGCCAGCGACCTTAAACCTCTGTTATTCAAATGTTTGCAACGTTTTGCTATACAAATGCTTCCTGCCTTTCTGATTTTCTCAATGTCCTCTTTTGTGCCATAGATTTTCGCTGGCTTGCCACAACTACACGGGCACGAAACAATGCCGACTTTACCGGGCCACATTTTGTTTTCCACAGTTACACGACTTGTACTTTCCTCTTGACTTGACTTGACTTCCACGTGCTTATGTTGCTGCGATAGCATATTTGGGTTACTTTGTTGAGCACTTCTCGACTGCCCATTCGGTTGGCTTGTAGCACGTCATTCCAACGGTTCCAGATACTTTTAAGGGGGCCCTAAATAGTGGTTTGGTGCTTATATCACTACCACCTCTACCAGCATAACGAAAACCATAGTTTTTCAATACACGTTGGGCTCTTTTTGCTTTCTCACTTGTGCTCGATCACGCTCTAGAAAATCTTTCATTTCACGATGTAGTATATTACCCAAATTAGTATGGGAACCCCTCTGCGGTACCACCTTTCCTTTAAAAAAAAAAATTATAGAAATTGGTTGACGTAGTACGTACATCCAAATTAAAAAATATATATATTCCGACGAATTAATAACCTCCTCCTTTTTTGAAGTCGGTTGAAAAAAACTTTACCAATTATTTAATATTTTAGGTATGCAGTCCATCAAATTTTAGTAAGTTTCAAGACGCTAGAAAATCGCGTTGATTTTTAATAATTTTTTTAGCCGACGGTTTTGTGCATTTTCTTCCCCACGGGAGAGCCGCTACTTGTAGTTCTTTCATAAGATCCGGCAGCCCAATTTTAATTAGAACTGCATACGTACTATTTTGTTAGTGGCGTCAACAGTTGTGTTTAATTTGGTGGAACAGCAAAGCGATTTATTTATCTATTTATTTATTACAGTCTGTTAGACTTTTATTACAACAAAGATTTAACATTCTTATAATTATATTTAGATTTAAAATTTAAATATGTATTAAATACAAAATGCTCTACGGAAATTTTGAAATAACATTATTTCTTTATAACTGCAATTATTTTATGTCAATATAAAAGCATGCAATTTTCCGGAAGTTATGTAGACGGTTGGAAAGGCCGAGTTTCCGATACACCCAGTCTCGATATCTTGTTGGTTGGAAAGGCCTAGTTTCTAATCCACGTTATTGTTGATACATCACTATCTTGTAGGCTGCGTTCTACAATAGTCATATAGCAACCGCTTGAAAAGAGTGATAGTATCACAATTTTTTATAGCCTCTGGTAATTCATTAAAGCACTTTAAGCCTTTATAAAAAATATGTTTTCTGTCACATTTATATATCGGAGATTATCGCTAAGATAATCCGACAGGTTGTCCTTCTTAATATTGTACACAAATTTCATAGCGTGATAAAAAACTTCTTCCTTCACGCTTAACCAATTTAAAGGTTTCATACATACATCTTGTCGGTGTGTCGTACGGTTTGTTGAGGATGAATCCCATCGCTCGGTTTTGCATTTTTTGCAGCTTATCTACATGTGAGTCCGCCGCCAGGAAGAAAATCGTACGGCAGTATATATGTAAAGTGCGGTTCTACTATTGACCTGTACACCAACGTTTTATATCTTCTTCCCAAGTACTTACACGATCTCTTTATAAGGACAATCTTTTTAGCAATCTTGTTGACTGTATACTCAACGTGCTCATCAAACTTTAGTTTGTTATCTATGTATATTCCTAGGTACTTGATACTTTTCACCTCTTCGATTTTTTCATCTTTGATTTTCAATTCACGGCTTATGGAGTCAGCATTTGTCGCCCTGGAAAATATCATAAAGTTAGTCTTTTTCACATTCAGTTCGAGTTTATTTGAACACAGCCATTGATACAAAGAATTAAGATCTTCTGGCATTTTGACAATCGCATTTGGTAGTTCCCTATCACTGATCGTTAACAAGGCATCATCCGCAAAGAGTTTTATTTTACAATGTTTGAGAAAACTTTTAATATCGTTTATATATATATTAAAGAGTAGGGGTGCCAAAACTGAGCCCTGTGGTAAGCCGATGTCTACGGCTATCTTACTAGACATCTTTGAATTAACTATTGTTTCTTGCCTACGATTACATAGAAAGCTTCTAAACCAGTCAAGCTCAGTATTTTTTATGCCAATGTATTTTAGTTTATCCAATATTGATTTCCATGTCCGAGAGGATCCTCGATATTCTAGAGCTATTGGTATCGCTGGGTCTCTTTAATCACCATGCCACGCGATGTATTTTTGACATTCCCACGACAGCCGGTTCTACGTACCGGAATGACTCGGGTTTCACCCGACCAAGGGCTGTTGTTTCGGCGATCTAACCCCGTTTAGGTCGGCGAAGTATCTCAGAAGTTGTCCGTCCATAGGGCAACATTCACTACGCATTCTCCTACTCAGGGCTGGCATCGAGTCAAACCCTGGGCCAGAAATATACACCTGCTGTGTATGCCGAAGACGTTTACACCACAACTCCACCTCAGTCAAGTGTAATGCCTGCGAGGGGTGGAGTCACCTCAGGGTCTGCTCGGGACTACGGACTCACAGACAGTGGACCACGTCGTACGTGGCCCCCTGTTGCTCAAATAGAGCAGCCTCCACGGCAACCCATAGTCCGCCCGTGCAGCCCCACACACTCACACAGCAACCACACACAGTCGCCACAACACAACAACATACCACAGCCACCACAGACCACATAACACACACAACAGCACCACCACCCACACGCCGCCGCCAACAACTCTTGGTTCCCCCTACAATCTGCACGGTATGTCAGACCAGAATATTCCGTAATGTGACATCAGTCAAGTGCAACACCTGCCTTGGCTGGTGCCACTTTAGGGCATGTTCAGGTCTGCGCACCACGCGAGATTGGACGGGGAACTTCGAGGGCCCGTGTTGCGCTGCCCGGTCGCTGGCATCAATTGCGACGCCCCCCCAATACCACCACAGGGAGGCAATCACCCCAGCAGCACACACAGCCAACGGCGGCAAGAACTTACACCTCACTCACACCCCACATCACAACACGTCTCCTGAACCACATGAAGCTCCTCCAATTCAACTGTAACGGGCTACAGAGCAAGATTGAGGAGATAACCGCCTTTATGTGTCGGCATAGTATATTAATAGCTGCGGTCCAAGAGACGAAGTTGCACAGCAATTCAACTTTGTTGCCGGGTACAACGTGCACCGTCGAGATCGCGAGCGAGATAATGGTGGTGGCTTAGCGTTCATCACGCACCACACCGTGCAGTATCGTCTTATCGAAGCAGACATCGACCGCAGGGATACCACCCTAGAATGTCAGGGCATCGCTATCCGGTCAGGCGATGTCGAGCTCGAAATATTTAATATATACATACCCCCTGTCACCTGCTGCCCGGCAGGATATCACCCTGATATAGGTGCGCTCCTCAGAGGTGAAAACCGTATGGTAGTAGTTGACTTTAATGCGCACCACGATCTTTGGCACTCAAGCCTGTCAAACGATCGTAGGGGAACAGACTTGGCTGAGCAGATAGACGATTCGACATTCTGCACAATGAACGACGACGCACCCACCAGGATTATGGGTAACTGCAGTAGCTCGCCAGACATCACAATAGTCAGCGCTGGTCTGATAAACAGCATAACGTGGCGACCTATGCTGACTCTAGCATCAGACCATCTACCCATAGTCATCTCGATTGATAAACCAACCGACTTTGCCTCCGCCAAACACCGGACCTATGTCAACTTTTCTAAAGCTGACTGGAAAGGTTACGCGGAGTTCACTGAAAACACCTTCACATCGCTCCCCACACCAACCGACGTCCACCTCGGTGAACGTAAGTTCCGCAGGGCTATCACTGCTGCTGCAGCCCGCTTCATACCGGCAGGGTGCATATCGGACCCACGTCCAAACTTCCCTGCCGAAGCGGCTGTTTTAGCAAACGAGCGTGATAGCCTTCGTCAGGCCGATCCCGGAGATCCCCGTATCAGGGATCTCAACGCGGAGATTCGGCAACTTGTAAACGTACATAAGCGGAAGAAGTGGGAGGAGCATCTGAAGACTTGCAACTTCACCTCTGGTGTGAGCAAGCTTTGGTCAACCGTGAGGTCATTGTCTAATCCGACGAAGCACGACGACAGAGTCGAAATTTCCTTCGGCGACTATGCTTCGTCGGACCCGGAGCGATGCGCGAGCTATTTTAGCCGGCAGTTCATACTGCATCCTCCGGTGGACAAAGCCAAGCGTCGAGTGACCAGAAGGCTGCACAAACTGCCAACAAATTGTGCCCCCCTTGCTTTCACTTGCGGTGAAGTTCAGGTGGCCATCGGGAAGGCGAAAGCCTCCAAAGCCATGGGTCCCGACGGTATATGCATGCTGATGCTGAAAAATTTGGGTCCTGCGGGGGTAGCGTACCTAACGGAGGTCCTCAATTTGTCAATGGCCACTCTCATCATCCCAGACATCTGGAAGGTGGGGAGAGTGGTCCCACTGCTCAAACCGGGGAAACCTGCAAACAAAGGAGATTCGTATCGTCCGATTACACTCCTTTCCCCGGTAGCGAAGACACTCGAGGCCTTGCTACTCCCGTACTTCACAAATCACCTGACCCCAGCGAAGCATCAGCATGGTTTCCGTAAAGTGCACAGCACAACAACAGCACTTAACGCCATAAACACTCAGATAACTCGTGGCCTTAACCGTAACCGTCCCTGTGAGAGAACGATTCTAGTAGCGTTGGACTTGTCAAAGGCGTTTGACACCGTCTGCCATTCCACGCTACTAGAAGATATAGAGGCCTCCTCTCTCCCACAGAGGCTCAAACGGTGGTCGGCAAATTATCTAAGTGGTCGACATTCGTCGGTAATGTTC